CATGCCAAAAGGGCATGGGAGAGACATCTTCCAACCTCCTCTAACTTTACAAGAGGGAGACAGAATGACCATCAGCAGCATCAGCCCCAGGCTGATTGCTATGAAGCAGAGGTCAGACATGATGCCACCCTCCAACCTCTTTAACAATTCTGATACCAACCATTCCTCCTATAGCACTTTCTATTTCTCTGCTAGGCCCAATAATTAATTGCCATGGTCACACAGAACTCACAGACGATACTCATGATTATGGGGTTTATTAGGAAAGTAACAGGTTACATTTCAGGTTCAAGAACACTCAGGATACAATTCTTCAATTAAGACAGCCTCCCCTCAGCCATGCTCATAGGCACAGCATTCTTTGGTCTTCAGCCTCTTGGCCTAGCCTCTGCCTTGCTCAGGCAAGTGGCACAAAGGTCTTTTAGCTCTTCTGATAGGTGCACCACACTACACTGACAAGCCCCCTGCCTAAAGGCACTCAGCTTTCTCACTCCATGGGCCAGCAAGCCCCACTGCTCTGTCTCATGCCAGTCTCTCGGTCCTGTTGGTTCTGCTTCCTCTACTGTTACTGTCTCTTTGCCATCTTTCTGCCATCTCAGTGAAGGGATGACACACTCCACTCCTTGCTATTCTCTTGATGGCAATAAGATCCCCATTTTCCACCCCTGGGATGGCTCATCCCAGCTACAGATGGCAAAACTGACCAATCCCCAAATTAGAGTCCCTTCACAATATTTCCATGGTCTAATCCCTACAAGGGTACCATGTACCCTAATTTATGTTATTAACAAGTTATCCAATCCACTTTGTGGACCACAAGCAATTCACATTTGCATAGCCCCACCCAGTCATCTGCTGAGAGTTGGCAAAGACCATGATGAAAAGAACCACATTAGTTCACTACACCACAGGCCATCCCCAGGTTCTTCATTTGTCCTTTCATACTTGAAATATTAAATTTCCCTTCCCAATCATTTTAAGTATAAGCACACCCATGAAAGTGTGTAAGCCAGGCACTTCATGCCTTTGTTACCCTCCCCCCATTTTTGATAGCCAATTTCTAAATTGCCCATTCCTATCAAACCAGTATTATGAGGAGACATTCATTTTCTTTTCTCTGAATTGTCTTCTGTTCCTTTTGAAACTTTGAGCATCTGCATCCATAATCCAAGACCAGTGCAAAAACAAGCCATCAAATTGCAGCAATTTATAGTAGCTCATACTGTGTAAATCGGACCAAACGCAGGTCCCTGACCATTGCACAGTCAGGCTGAAACAGTTTACACACCGAGTGATTAAGAGGTGAAAAAATTATTTAATGCAAAGTGGCAATGCAAGGAGACAGGAGTCGTACCCAAATCAGATTCCCCAAATGGTGGTCAGGTTACAGTTTTTGTAAGTTTCAGGAGATAGAGTTATACATATTCATAACAACTTCAAGAATTTGGGTGTAAATTAGTCAAGGATTGGCTGAAATTTCTTTCGCCTCAATTTAAAGAGAAAGTCTTTTTTAATGCAGTGTGCTTGTGCACCAGATGAGTCACACCAGCTTCCTGTCATCAGCTGATGGCGTTTAGGCAGAAGGGAGAATATCAGTTCCCAGCAACTTTGTTCTTGTTCATCTCACTGTGCATGTCCATGGGCCAAGGTCACTTTTCAAGTTGTCTCCCAAAACACATTAACAAACTTATCACCTGTTTCTAAGGGATAACATGGAGACAATGTCTAAATTGACCTTTCATTCCATTCAGTTCTTAAGGACTGAGTTATCATGTTTACTTATCTGCCTTCAACCAGGGAGGAAGGCTGAATCTTGACTCTAACCAGCTTCAGTGTCAAAAAGCTTTCTCTTCATTCAGTTAACTTCTGGTCAGCTCAGTCCTTGCCATCCAAACTAGGTCAGTAGATTGCAACTGCAAACTTGGGAATTCACACAACTCCCTGCACTTCAGACCAGCCAGTCCCTTTTCTCTCTGTCCTCCCTAATTCCCATGGGCTAGATCAATGCCCATAGGTTCAGGAGTCCACATACCTTTCTGCACTTCAGACTACCCAAGCTATCTTCTCTCATCCATGGGCTAGGTCAAACTCTGTCCACTTCTTCATTACTGCACCTCCCAGTTTTCCACTCATCAAGCATATCTCAGAGATCACCACAAATGAGCTCACAAAGCTCTCTACTCAGCAGCTACAAGGGTTCTAATGGACATTTGACGTTCTCCTGCCTCAATGTACTCAATGTCAAACCACTTGCTGGATATTTAAAAAGCAAAATAGTTTTTTTTTTTTTTTTTTCTCCTGTGCAGGTCCTTCCTTCAAATGCAAATATCTTCTCTCAGCAGTTTGTATGGGTCTGCACATCTTTCAAATGCAAATTTCCTTGGTGGGGCTCATGTTTTGGACCTAAACCCCCAATACTCTATACACAAGGATATGGGCTAGAAACAAAAAGCCTGTGTTTCTTCCAGGCAAATTTTGGTGCCCCTTTTATAATACCCAAGGATGTTTTATGGTGTAGCAGTTAAGGGATATGGCTGCTAAT